TAAATGAACTGCGGCCATTTATAAAGCTGGGAGCCTTGATGGGGACTTGGCAAAAACAAAAACAAAAAAAAGAAATTGTGAGTAACAACGCACATTAGAAAAGGGAAACGTCACGAGAGGTCGAACAGTCGGTTACAAATTGCATTGACTGCTGGCAGAGCGAAAACATCTGCCACGCTGTGGCTCTACCCGCGGAGCGAGTACGCGGCGAGGCTCACCGCCACCGAGGAAAACCCCCAACAAGCTTTCTTTCTTTTGTATTCGACTGGACCGCGAGTAATTCAATACACCTCTCCTCGTGCAGGCTCACTCAAAGGAAACGCAAGGCGAAGGGACTGTATCGAGTGGAGCACTATTTGAACACCTCTTCGTCGGTTATATGTGTGTGTGTGTGTGTGTGTGTGTATCGCCGTGTGGGAAACCCCGTAACTGCATGTGTGTACTGCCCGAGTGTTTAAGGAGATAGTGAAATGGATTGTACATTCAAAACCATTCGTCTTGTTCTGCACATGATTCCTTGACCAAACTCAACACCCCCAGAGAGAGACCACTACAACAATACAAGGCTGATCTCTCCATAGCAACACACATGGTAACGCAAATCTATTTCAGAGCGGGAAGCGCAGTGTAGCACTTAAACACAGCGGACCAATCAAAAAAAGAAAATAGGCAAAACAGCAATCAATTATTAAAAGAGCTTCATGTTCATACTTACTGCCCGTGTGTTGCCAGCTGCAGCCCAAACTGAGGGGCTCCCACTACCAGAAAATACCCCTCTGCATACGATTGTTCGCCTTATCAGGGACCTACAGCAGTGCCGCTGAATGCACAGGATGTGAACTGGGATCTGCCCCTTGTTTGACATTTAAATTGTTCTGTAAGGTGTGTTTACTTTTAAGGCGTTGGCTGCCCTGGTCAGACTTGAATGCAGAGGGCAAGTGGAAACACGGAAGCCTAATGAGGGAAAAACAAACGCAGGGCCTGTAACAAGGGGAAGATGACCGATAGAGAAAGTTTAAATCCACATAATGTTGCTGCTGGCGTAGGCCTGCTAGTAAATCGTAACGCTGTAAGCAGATCTGTCGACATCAATTGTTCAGCAAGCAAAGCACTCGACATTACCTCAGCGTTATTGCCGAGCCAACACCAACACACAACTGATAAGATTAACTACTTTTCTAAAGAGCGCCGGCTGCCCAATTACCTCAGCATTTTACTTAATTTAGACAAGAAGAAAAAAAAACACAAGTGCTTTGGGTTTACTTGGAATAAATGACGCTAGTTAAAAGAAAAACTGGAAGAAAACTTTTAAAAAAGTAAGTTGCTATGACCTTTATCTAGATGAATGTAGATTTTTCAAATAGAAACATCAAACGAGTTAAAGTTTCACAGTTTTGGACTGTGAATAGGACAAAACATCAACGATGGCTAAGAGAAATTCTGATATTGCAAACAATAGCATCAACAGAGAAAAATATATAATTAGGGTTGAGTAACGACATGTTTTAAAAAATAATAATTGTATGCATCGAATGCATAATGATGAAAAGATTAGTCAGTTAATAAAAATGTCCATTTAGATAGAAAAAAGTGTCAAACATCTTGCAAATCCAGACAAATACAAGGATCTGCTTCTTACTCGGCTACCAACACTAGAACACGAGAAAGGAAGCAAATTAACTATTCCTTGGTTCCTACGAATAATCAACTGATTAATCAATAAAGAAAAAGAGCTGCGCACTGCAGAATGCAATACTTTGTTTCATTTTAAAAAGAGAAAGCACAAGGATGGATTCTCCCACAAATCACCTATACTGTCACAGAAAGTGACAGAAGCCAAATCAATAAAAAAACAATGCAAAAGGGGCAACTGAAGGGCACTTCTATTCTATTGGTGGATTTATTTCCTTCAAAAGTTTAACTTCAGGCATTTTATTGATCTTCAGATAACTATAGGCCGTCCTCAAAAAAAATTCTCAGTCGACGGACACTCATATTATCAACTAATCAATTATTTAATTAAATAAACAGATCTGGAAAGCTCAGTCCCTCCCCAGAGAAGCCCCACTGTATAAGTTGTGTTCATCGGAGATGTGCTAATTAGATTCCTGGGAACAGTCATTCAGCATTAACATGCATACAAAAAAACAACTTAGCGACTGAATAAATTTGAATCGACTAAGAGAAAACCCCACGATTAGTCAACTTAATAACTAAGAAGAGGGAGCCATGAAAAAAGAACCATAAACACTTCAGGCTCTCACGGCACCAATGTGAGGAACAGTAAACTTATCAAGTTTTTCCCAAACGAGGCGCCCTCGCATTCTCAAAATGCATCTTTGTTAAAGACGAGAGCAAATCCACCGGTGCGCCTGCACTGCAGTGTCCATGCAGGAGATATAGCAGTAAGTGGTGGGCATCAGAGTACCTACACAGCACATCACAAAGGAAGCAGCAGCGCACCTTTTCACAGCACAATGTCTCTGAGACAGGACACAATATCCTTCTACATGACATGAGTTCAGTGGGATGGCTATCGGATTTCAGGGTGTGTGGCAGGATGCTGTAATCGTATATATACACTTTATCATGCTTGTTCTGTCCCAAGTGTATTTTTTTAAAGGGAATTTAAATGGAAGCGTAGGGAAGGGGCTGTCTCATTGAGGTGGGGGGTCAACTACAATCCTGCAAGTATCTGTGAATGGAAGAGTGTCTAACCGTATAAAAATACTTCGGATCTGAGCAAGTGGAATAGAGTTGATGAGAGTCCGTCCTGGGATTGTTTTCCTTTCAGATTTCCAAAAGGATTATTATAAATAAATATTCAGTTTACAGAGGAAATGACTCGCCAAAAAAAGCTGCAGTAGCAGACAATAATGAAGCTAAAGTTATATTACTATTTTTAGATATTTATACAAAGTCTCTATTACATAGCATGCTATTTGGCTTCCTGTTGTATACAGACCATTTTACAGCTTCTGCTTTCTTTTGGGCCAGAGAAATCAGAGACGGGCACAGTCAATTTGAAAAAGACCAAAGAAATCTCCCAGTATAATGATGAGAATGGATTTCAAAGACGTACCAATCTTGCAGCTTGTTAAAGTCCCAGATGCCTTAAACAATAATGAGTATTCACTGGGACTATTTTACAACTTCCCAAATACTGTACTGACTCTATTTGTTTACTCTATTAGTGCAATATGGAATTTTATTCTTCTAATGGTGTCACAAATCCTTGTTCTTGACAGATATAATTGTATAGATGGATCGATATTCTTTACTTCATTGATGTTGCACAATACAAAAGGATGGAGTACACAGCTGATCAGAACAAAATCGCTGTTATGTACAATGCTTCTTATTTGATGCTCTAACATAAAGTGAAAATATGCGTCTGATCTATATTGTGAAACCAGAGTCTTTCAGTTAGCTTCCCTCTCAGAAAACATTCAGATTTGAACTTGTAACAGAATGGTAGCAACTTCAAGAAAATATAAATAAAAGTTCCCCACGGTCATTTGCTCATTTCATTGTTCTGCTGACGCTCCATAATTGTTCCAAGTTCAGAACAGTCATGTCAAGGTGGTTCGATGTGCCACCTTTTGCTACTGTTGCCAGATCAGCCCGTTAACAGCTGCAGCATTTTAAAAAGGAGTCTTATTTAGATGAGGCAGCCTCATCAGTGCCTCCCATATTTACCCTTTTCCATCCTGTCATATAAAAACTTCACATCTACTGCACCTGGAGGAAGTGCTGGGAGGTGGCAGGAGGGGGATTTGAAAGCAAGGATGATATATTTTACAACCTGAGACTAACACCTATTCAAATGTTCATTGGTATGAGCGTTGGCCAACCTGGTGTCTCAAGGGAGATGAGAAGCTATAAATTAGCTTCTCATGCGAGCAGCTAATTTAGTTCAACGTGTAGAGAACATTAAACTCACATTCATCAACATAAAATTAGGTAATGTACACAATAGTGGTTTGCCATGAGCTTTCTGTAACGTAATGATTATTTAGTGGTTTACAGGAATGACTGAGCCAGTTAATATTGACAAATAGATTGCTTGAAACGTATTCTTCTTTGTTTCTTTAAAAAAAAAATGCATTCTGACCCACAGGTTGCCACTTTTTACCACACTTGTACTGAACCGGTGATCTAAAGGTCTGCAAGGCCATGTTAACTTATTTTCCCTGATATTACCCCCCAATATGTTTTCATCCGTGTTCCAAATCCGAATGTTACACCTCACTGTCACCTCGATTATCTTGTAATCTATTTAGCCAGATGTAACGTTCCAAAGGGGTCTATGCCACTCATACTTTTATACACTGCATATCTGTATTTGGCCGTTGAGTGCATCTCTCCAAGTGTACATTCTGCACACACTGCTGTCTAAAATAAAGTGAGTTTGAGCGCCGGGCAGGAGCGGCCCACACTGACAGGTACAGGCCTAACCGTTATGTCAGAGCGGTGTCTGCAAGCCAAGATGCTGAAATCCATCAGCTCAGAAACCCCTCTGTTCTGTGGAAACAACACGTCTAATTCAGCTGCCGGGGAGCGTCATTAGAACGTTTGCGGTGGGCTCCCCCCAAAACAACACTGCAACATGGAACAGGTGTGTGCGTGCACGCGCGTGTGCCCGTGTGTTCGCGATCGCGCATCTGTGCATCTATTTGTGCGCCCAAATGAAACAAACGCCAGGTTAGATAAGAGAAATCACGCATTGGGTTAAATGTGCGGGAGTTAGAACGGCGCTTTTGGGAAAGCTGCCCAACACTGAATGACGATTCAAATCCCCCCACACACCCCTTACATGCATGCATACACACACACACACACACAGACCACGCGCGTGCGTGTACACCGTACACAAAAATAATGTGAGAATCAAAATCTTATAACAGGCGTGGTCATTGAGTGAAAACACGTTAAGGGCAGTTTGTTTTTGTCGTTAGAGCCTAATTGGATATCGCAGGAGAAAATGCGAATACATCTACCTTATGGTGGTCGATGCGTATCCTCTCCTCTCCTTTATGCGGGCTCTCCGGCCACAGGTGATAGCTCGAGCCGTAGTTGGGGCTGTCTTTGCTGCTGTTGCTGCCGGTCGTGGAGGAGTTCCCCGCGTATGCCTGTTGTGTCGCCGGGGTTGTTACGCGGGAGTCGCGGCTGTGTGGCTGCGCCTGATCGCCTTGCGCGGTGATCCACCCAGACTTATTGCGGTCTTCACAGTGCTGCGGACGCTGGGGACAGAGCCCCAGTGCGCCTTGCCGCTGCTGCTGCTGCTGCTGCTGCTGCTGCTGCTCTTGCTGTTGCAGCAGTGGAGCCTGGTGAGTCCTACATAGCTCTCCTGAGCCACTGGCGCAGTAGTTGATAGGCAAGCTGCTCCCCACCAGTAGCTGTTGCTGCGCTCGTAGTTGTGGGATCTGTTGCTGCTGCAGGTCCTGGGTCCGAGGCTCGAATGCTCTCCTGTTAGCCTCGGTTGACTCGCATACATTTAAAGAGCGCCCTTTCTGCAAGTTTGCATGGGTTCTTTCAGGGGAGGGGTCCCTCTGTTGGAGTCTTAAATGACTGTGCTGTTGATGCTGTTGCTGCAACAACTGCCTGTGGTCTCGGTGCCCTCCTGCTCCTCCTCCTCCCCTGCAGCGTTCCACGATGCTTGCCTGTTGGCAATTATTGGCACTCCTTCGGAGACGATCGCCCCTCTTAGATTCCTGGGAAAACTGCAGGGAGGAAGAGGAGGACGACGGCGGTGGCGGCGGTATAGGCGGCGGAAAAGGTGGGGAGGGCTGTGGTGGGAGAAGATCGTCAGGGTGGTTACGGTTTTGAGAGAGGCTCGCCTCCTGCTCCGAAAAACTGCAGTGGCAGCTCGGAAAAACAGGCTGCTTCTCCAACTGCGGCGGTTGCTGCTGCCGCCGAGAGCCGGCCGGGGCCCAGGGATCCTGCTGCAGGTGCGCCGGCTTCCCGGTGCTGCTTGGTTCCCCGGTTCGGCGCGAAGGCGGCTGGGCGGTGTCGTAGCTCGCCAGAGGGTCGCCGCTGTGAACGGGTCGCCGAGAGGGCTGGCTCAGACACGGCAGCTCCTGGAGGCTCTGGCGGTGAGCGGCGGTGGAGGATGTGCGGTCTCGGTGCTGAGAAGAGGGCGGGGGCGGCAGGCTGAAAACAGGCGCAACTGGGTCTCCGCTTTGCTCGCTGCTCGCTTGCTTTTCGTCGGGGACGTGGTGCTGATGGACAGCTCCCGCGCACCGATGCCGCATCCCCTTGATCGCCTCGTCTCGCTGTGGTTGCTCCTTTGCCGTGCAGAGCTCCGACACCCGTGCATTGCGATCGTTCCCAGCAGAATATAACTGACTTGTATCATTGGTAGGTTTGACCAAGACCTGCCTTTAAACGTCACTGTAAAACTAAAACACCGCCTTCTACGGAATTTCTGTCCATCGCCTGATTTGCGTCCAGGTTGCAGCGGATCGATCGCGCCTTACGGCTGTTAATATATAACAAGTATGGGAAAGGTGCTTAAATCCCGCTCACATGGTTGATTGCCTTAATCCACTGTGGACCCAATAGATCGACTTCGTCAATGTTGCCATAAGCACCCATTATAAGAACCTTTTTTACTACGTCACCAGAACGGATCCCCGGGCCTGTCAAACATAATGCTTAGTCGAGATCTGACAGTCGGTTAATTGTGCACTAAAGTGACGTTGGTGACGTTTAGAACACACATGATGGCCCTTAACTCGATCGCCCAAAAAGTGTCACTTTTGCAAGGATCACGAGGGGAACAATGGACACAGTTGATCTCAAATTTCCCGAACACACTTCCACTTGTTGGCCCACAAACAAACAAACATGGCTGTAACAATTACCTCATCACATATAACCTGAGCCTTTCAGTCTAGTATTTAATAATTTAGCAGAATATGGCTGGTTTGTATTACCGCGCAGAAATGTTAAGAATGGATTTTGCATGCAGAGCGTGCAGTCGGCTTGCAGCCCTGGTGTGTGTGTGTGTGTGTGTGTGTGTGTGTGTGTGCGTGCGTGCGGGTGTGTGTGTGTGTGTGTGTGTGTGTGTGCGCGCGTGTGTGTGTGTGCGCAGCTTCATGCTTCTACTGCATCCTTTCGGTGTTGAAGGCTTCACTGTCTCAGTGGAAAGGAAACTGGCTCCAGAAGGAAACCGAGAGGGCGCAGAAGGCGCTGTCCGTTGTGCTGAACGAGTTCAGACTCTGAATTCAAACTGTCCATCACGAGTCAGTCAGAAATGTCTTGCAGCTCGGAGGATTAGCAATTTGATAACATATAAACTTGGATGAAAGCGTTCATTGTTTCTTTTTTTTTTTCCAAACCTGTCTAATTGGTTTACGGCACAAAAACAATACTAAACTGCCTGGTGGTTTGCAAACATTGAACCTTTCAATACTGGCCATGTACGGCGACTCTGCATCAATAGTCCTTGCACAGCTATGTGGAGGGATCAAAAAGAGTTCCAAAAAATGACTGCCGCCCCCCCTTTGATTCAGCAAACCTAAGACTGCTGAAGCTGCTCAAATTCTGGTGCATCAGCTCAACTTTTCATCAGACCTCTCGGATGAAGAAGTCAATGGTAGTTCTCTAACTAAGTGAACTTTTGGTCTACGGCACTTTTAAAAACTTCATGTGATGTAAGGGGAAGTTTCATCTTGGAGCTTGGTGCTTGCAACCTCTAACCACAGTGGATTGTGGATTTTGGTGCAGAATATGGAGTTAATATCCACACACACACACACACACACACACACACAGACTAAGATCCAGGTGCAGCATATGCTTTCATGAACATAAGATCTGTCTGATCCACAGGTCCTGTTTCACTGCCTCTGGAGAGGACCCTGGATTGTCCAGTTGTCTCTTCACAGCCCGCATGGAGAAGAGGAATTATCACAGCATATAATACTAACAACATACACAGCCTTTAGATAGGATTTGACGTCCCAGCTTCTCTAATGCTCCGAATGCGTATTTAAGCATGGATAAATGAAACAAAGGTTTAGTGCAGGAGAGAAAGAAGTTGAATCTGAGCCAAATAGACGGGGAGGGGGACAGGGACACTGAGCGAGCCAACTTTTATATCATACATTAGCCATTATTAATAAGTAATAATCCTTTCCTTAAAGCTGGTGCAGCCATTATGAGTTTTGATGAGTCTAAAGACTGCAGCGGTGGCACACTTTGCCTAACCACTGGAAAAAGCTGAGGAACACTCTGTTTTATAGTTACGTGAAGTACTGCAGAAATTTGGAGTGGAGCTCTGCAGAGCTGCATTAGAAACCTGATCATTTTCATTAAGTAATTGATCACTGCGACCTGTGCGAGTTCCGTGGCAAGATGGAGTTTCATTTGCTAGTTTGGGAAGTAATGTCACTGGTTCCACATTAATAATTAAATCAAACTTTACAACTCCTGGACACAAAGAAACACTCACTCAGCAACCGGCTGTGGACGACAAAGCCCGCATTTTCTCTTGCTCTTGCTCCCCTCCCCCGTCCCTCCCTCCCTCTCACTCACACCCCGACACCCATAACGACGCCACAATATGTCACTCCAACGGCCTCTTTCTAGCAAAAGCTGCCATCCGCCTTTAGTACCTCTTAGATTTGTCACATACAACCGTCAAACGAGGCCGGCCCGGTGTAGTCAGAGCATATTGTGCGTCTCTGCATTGATTGCTCCTGGAGGGAGAAGCAGAGGAAGATCAGTGACACTAAAATGTTAGAGGAGGAAACATTGAGGAGGACAATGGCTGCAGCACGTAACATAGGAAGTAGATAAGAAGCCCGTAATTACAGAGAAAGAGAAAACCAACCAAGGCGAAGCGGAGGGATGTGCAAGTATGCGTGTGTGTGTGTGTGAGAGAGAGAAAAGAGAAATAGAGAGAGAGAGAGAAAGCACACTGTGTGTGAGAAAGAGAAAAACGGACCGAGTGGGAGAGATATCTAAAAAGAGCAGGTGCGCCAACACAGAAAAGATCAAAAAAGGGTTCAATTGAAAAGAAGAGGAAGATGGAAAATGTGTTGCACTGCGGAGTGAGCCAAATTAAATTACACACAGATACAGCGATTAGCCAATTATCTTAAGGCAGAATCATCTATGCTAAAAGATAAGTCATATGTGATCTATAATCACTATTCTTAAAGATACTATATGCTGTGTTTCATTGTTCTTTGGAAGTCTGACTGTATAGTGTGAGCCACCTGGTTTTAGCAACGGTTAGTGGGAGTAGTTTTACATGTGATTTGACCACACGTCTAATTCGCTTAAGTTTGTGCCTCTCAAACGATAAACTGCAGTCCAATGCAGCAGGTGAACACAGTCATGTAAGACAATAAGTCTGTCATGTAAGACAGATGTGTACTACATGTACCTTTCAAGATACATCCTTTTAACAATGAAGTTAATGGAAATGGATGGTATTAGAATAGAATGGAAGGCGTCAAATGCTGTACAGATTTTAAATCACTGACACAAATCCATAAACAAAAATGACTTAGTTATTGGGTCTGTGCTTTGAGAACCATTTATCTCCAAACCATCCACTTTAAATGAGCAAAGAAAAACATTAGGTTGAAAGTAGCGTCATGCATAAATAAATCACGTCTTCTAGAAAGAAAGGGCTTCAATTTGTCATTTGACATTAAAGATGAAAGTTTAAATTCGCTGGAGAACCTCCTTCTAAAAGGTGAAGCCAACAGACACAACGAAACAGACGAGGAAGAAAAGAAAAAAAGACACCGCTGTAGTTTTCAAAGACGCTTCCTATTTGCCCAAAGTGTGTCACCTATTTGCCGGGAGTGAGGCAGCCATCTTGAATTAGTGTGTCGATTCACTTGCGTGTCATGGCGACGGCTGTCATCTCACTCCACTGCCAATAACCGGAGTGATGCCTCCCAGGTAGACAGTTGTGCTGTTGTGGGAGCGAAGGCGAGCCCACGAACCGGCGTTAATACCAGCGAATACCGTGACGCACGTTCAGCTCGACCGATCGGCTGGCCTGCGTGAACCGAGCCGACGCGCTCCACACATGATGAACAACCTGCGATCCCAGAGATAAGAGACGAGTCGTGACTCAACCCCGGCTGCGGCGCCGTCGAGCGCCCGGTGCAGCCAGCGTGAGGGGATACCGAGGGCACGCTTGAAAAACGGAGCGTCTGCTGCCAACCACGGCAGCGACCCCCGGGTCCACGGCAGGTTTGATCTTTGACTGCTGAGGTCGTCAGTTAGATCTGCTCACGATGCCTCAAAACGAATCTGTACCATCATTCAGGGAAGAGGACGGGTTCATGGAGAGTCATTGTTAAGCATCAGCTGATATGTTAGCATCCCATAAATGAGTGAAGAGGCCTTTGCGAGGCGGACAACTGTGATGAAGTGTTTTCTATTACCGCTACAAGGAAAGCCAAGGTGCAGGGAATGATAAAGTGGCCCCCCGGCAGACTGCAGCCGTAACGCTCGGGCATGCCAGGTAACATCCGAGATGAGATCCCGTTGAAGCAATGAGGGGATACTCAAGAAGCATGCTAGGTAATCCTGACACACAGTCATAAGCTTAAAGCAGCAGCGGGGCGAGTGTTCGCCTCCAACTCAGGGGATGAACAAGAGGGCAATTAGTCACCATCGTCCACACAAAAACGATCCTCGGCACAGACAGACACCGCCACCTTGTCACGCTCGTTTACGCTTTGGCGCGCTACGGGAAAGGCTATCGCAGCCCAGTCATATTCACTCTGCAATTAGATTTGCTTGGATTTATTTACTTTACGATCTTCAGCGGCAAGAAGACATCTGAAGTACAGACAAAAATGAAAATCTTCATTGAGAGTCCATTTCTCCTCTGATGGCCCTCCCTTTTATTTAACTCATCTATCTCTGTGTGAGACATTATCTCACTCGCTTTAAAACATTACACGTCATACTCTCTTCCACCTCTAATCGCGGCCTGGCAGTGTTAATGTAGCAATGACAGAGAAATCTTGTCCATGACATCGTCTTTGCGCGCACAGCGAACGCATGCCTGGTTTTCCCCGGAATTGACCTTTACGGAAGCATTGGACCATCAACTTCTGTTCACAGAGCACAATGATGTCACTGCATTGAATGGAGCAGTACATGATGAGGGGAAGTGAAGGAGGACAAAGAGAACGACATACAAACAGGGCAAGACCCATTTATAATGCAGTCTGATTGTGCTTACGTGCGTGTTCCTAAAACGTGTGCTTTGGGTGGTGTGTTTGTGCATCAACGTGCACATGTGAACACATGTGCATACCTGCGTGGGCGGATGGGACCCGGGTTTGACAAGAGAGGCTCAGAGAGCTTTGCCCAGTTGTAAAATATGGTGATGAGAGATAAAGAGAGGAGAAAGCTCATCATTAATGCAAAGGTTCAAAGACTCGGCCCCTGTCTCATCATCAGAGGGGCAACAAACACAAAGGAGATGACCAACTGACCCCCCGTATTTACCACCAGCAGGGAGAGGTGGATGGCACACTCAGAAACAGTTTCACGAAGAACACACTTTTAAATGTCTTACATCACCTCACACAACCTG